TTAACATATGTATATTTTTGATCAGTTGTAAATAAACGAAATATCACGTTCTTTCTCTTTTCTTCTTTTTCTTCTTCTTCTTCTTCGAAAATTAAAATATAATAATATAATATAATATATACAATATTATAACATAAACAATATAATATAAAAAATAAAAACAATAATACAATTTTATATATATATATATATTGGGTTGTCAACTAAATATTTGAGGATTTTTCAAGGAAAATGATTGGTGAACTATGCAATAACTTAATTGTCAACTCATATATATATATATGATCATTTATTATGCATATATTTGTATAAATACATAATAATGTATAAAAAAAAAATAAAATATATATATAGATAATAAGTAATCATATATATATATACATAATAAATGATCAAACACATGAACACACGTAAGAGAAAAAAAAAAAATAAAAATGATAGACAAAGTTTAAATACAAATAAAAAAAGGAAACATTTTTCTCTAAATGATCAGTGATCGATGATCGATCATTGATCATCGAAAGAGAAAAAGAGAGAATCGAGTGTCATCAAATCCGAAAAAAAAAAACTATGCTAAATCATTCTAATCGAACATGATTATGATTAACAATGAAAATATAATTCAAAAAAAAAAATTAAATATTAGGAAGAATCAAAAGTTCATGAGTTCTGTTTTTTTTTTTTATTAACCCTTATCGGTTGTCAGGTTTTTATATTAATGATTTTCACTAAATTATATATATATATATATATATATATATCAATGGTTTTAATATAAAATTAATTTAAATCAGATATAACAATTCAATATAAATTATAAATGATTAAAAAATATTGAACAAAATTCTTCAATATTATAAAAGAACAACTTATTAATTATTCTTTTGTTTTTTTTTTGAAGGAGTACTACAAATAAATAAAATTAATAATTATTTAAACCCTTTGACTGGTACTTCGAAATCATATTTTTTTTTTGCCCCAGGACACCACGGCATTATTTTTATTATTTAAAAAATATCATGGCAAAATAATAATAAATTAATGTTAATAAAAAATTGTAATTGTAATTGTTCAATAGGACACTATTTTTTTATTTCAAAGTATCTTCTATATATCAGTCATATTCAACTAAACTAAATTTCAATTTTCATTTAGTTTTTTACAATTGTAAAAGGTTCACCAATGACCACCATGGGCGTCTCAGGGAAAACCGTGGCCAATGTGCCAGTCAAAGTGTTAAATTATAAATGGTTTCAATATAAAATTCAATATAAATTATAAATGTTTAAAATATTCAACAAAATTCTTCAATATTATAAACGAATGACTTATTAATTATTCTTTTGGTGTTTTTTTTTTGTTTTTTGAATGAGTACTACAAATATATGAAATTAATAAATTATTTAATTATTAATAAAATAATTGTATTTATAATTCACTTCTCACGTGACTTAAAACGACCAATAAAGTGTGTTAAATAATTAACTTAAATATAAAGTACAATAATTTTATTCACTTCAAAAAAAATTGTATTATCAGAAAAACAACACAATAAAAGCGCGAATTTTTGATTCACATTAATAAATAAAAGAAATATTTTGAGAAGAAATAAAAAAAAAAAAAAATGTGATGAAAAAAGAAGAAGAAAAAGAAGAAGAGGAGTAGGAGGGGATAAGAAGGGAAATGGACGATGTAAAAAAAAAAGGATAAAAAAAGAAATAATAAAAAAAAAAGAATGAAAGAAAGAAAAAAAAAAGTTAGGAAAATAATTTGAAAAAAAAAATGACACAGTTAAGAAAACAAAACAAAAATGGATTTACGATGAATTTTAATTAAAATTGATGAATTTTATTTCTTTTTTTTTTGTTTTTTTTTTCTTGTGGTAAATCGTTAAATTTTATTTTGTCTTCAGTTGTTATTTTTTTTTTTTATTTTTATTTTTTTTTTTATTTTTATTATTATATTCTATTTTCTTTTTTTTTTTCCAAAACCAACGTTATTTTAAACATACTTTGTTCATTATATTTATACTTTTATTATAATTAATGACAAAGGTGATCGTGAGC